CCCACCAGCAGCTCTCCTGGGCCGGGCTACACTGGACTGGGGACCGGCCTCCGTCCTCGGCCCCGCAGGCCGGGGTATAGCCTGGGCTGGCCGTCCCGGAGAGGATGCTGCCCTGGGGTGCTTCACAGAGGCCCGGGCCTGACACAGAGACCAGCCGGGTGAGGCTTTCCACAGAGCCCACAGCCCCGCCACCCATAGGCGCCACCCACCACCACCGGCCTGCAGGCCCCACCAGGGTCTGAGCCACCCGCCTCCCACTGGGTATTGAGCTAGGGAAGGGCAAAGGCTGAGCTTTGCTCAGCTCTGTACACACACACACTCACACACACACACATATACACACCACACTCACACACACACAGAGACACACACACACATACACTCACACACACACACTCACATACACACACTCACATACACACATACACATACACACTCACATTCACACCATACTCACTCACATACTCACACACACACACACACACACACACACTTACTCACACTCACACTCACTCTCACACACTCACACACATACTCACTCACACACTCACAAACCCAGGGTGCATGGGGAGGGGTTGGGGGAAAGGGCGAGGGGTGACTACTCACACTGGGCACTGCTGTTGGTGCGGGGCGGGGTGCCCTCCCCTGAGGCCTGGTCCACACACCAGATGCCAGCCTCCGTCGCCTGCAGCCTGGCAAACTCTCCTGTCTGGGACAAAGCCGAGGTCATGTCAGCCCAGGGAAGATGCTGTTGAGGCCCACAGGTCAGTGAGTGGACGTCAGGAATGTCCCTCCCAAACCACCAGTGCTGGCCTCTCCGCGTGGAGGGAGGTGGCCTGGGCGGCTCCCTGATCCAGACCCGTCCCTCACACCATCTGAACTGACGGTCAGAACCACCCACGAGGCTGGGGCCACAGGAATCCAGTCTCGGGATCTCATCTGATCTTCGTGAAGCCGGAGCGGGAAGAGCGGCGGGTTGTGTTCCTATCAGACCCCCTTTGGGGACAGGGAACCGAGGCCCGGGGCCTTCATTCCTTGCACGTGAGTGGCTGCGATCCTAGCGTGAATCCTTTCTCTAGGAGCTCTTATTCCTAAAATTGGCCGCTGCACCCACTATTAGATCTAGTATAACCCCAGGAGCTGGGAGGGCGATGTGACATCTTCCATGTGTGTTGAGAAACTAAGACACAACGACTTTGCAAAATGACTTTGTCCAGGTGCCTTTAGACACGTGTAAATGACTTTTAAAGAGTTTTCATGAGTGATATTTCCTTGGGCCCTCAAAACAGCCTAGCACCGGGTAGGATAAAAACGTACGTGGTCCAGTCCTATGATAAAAAACAAACAAAACAAAACAAAATAAAACTACGGCCTAGAGAAGGTGAGTAAATGGCCCAAGGTCACCCAGCCAGACTCTGCCAGGACTCTAGCGACAATGCAGATCTAGAATTCCCTACAGTTTTAAACAAAAATAAATGTATTTCCTGGCTGATGTGGCTCAGTTGTTGAGCGTCAAGCCAGGAATTAAGGGATCAAGGTCCAATTCCCGGTCAGGGCACATGCCCAGGTTGTGGGCTCAATCCCCAGTGGGGAGCATGCAGGAGGCAGCCGATCAATGATTCCCTCTCATCATTGATGTTTTTATCTCCCTATCTCTCTCCCTCTCTCTCTAAAAATCAATTTTAAAAAACAACATAAAAAACACACATACGAATACACTGAACACTAGGAAAGCCACCCCCGGCCTGCGGAGAAGGCCTGCTCCTCCTCGGCCTCCCCAGCCCTCGGAGCCTCACCTCCAGGCAGGTTGGGATGAAGAGGTCTTCGGGGGAAGGGTCTCCCTGGGACCCGGCCTGTTTCCAGCTGGAGAGCAGCCCGCTGGCTCGCGCTCTCTCACAGGCGGAGGGGCCTGTGGGGAGAGAAAGGCTCTTTACAGGCTGTGTGGGCCCAAGGAGAGCAAGCGGAGAGCCCAGGCCCAGGCCGGCCGGATGTCAGGGCCAGGGTCTGGGGCATGGAGGCCGGCACAGAGAGCTGGAGTCTCGGCCGAGGAGCAGGCTGGGGCTCAGGGACAAAGGCCCAGGCGGGAGGCAGCATCGTGGAGGTGGAAAGTGGGCAGCTGATTTCCCGGGTCAGAAACTGGGGAGAGGCTGGGCTGTAGAACAGACGGGAGGTGGCTGTTGAAACCATGGGAGTGGGTGAAGCTGCACAGGGCGGGTGTGGGGGAGCCCAGGGCCCCTCGCCTCTCCCTGTCTCTCTCCACCTGGGAAACTAGGCAGGGCCTAGGCCTGCGAGAGTCTTCCAGACGCAGGCGGGGACTTGGGAAAATGTGGGCTGGCTGCCCTCAGGGGCCGGCCCTCGGAGCTCCCCTGGTTGGGGCCCTGAGTGCCCACCGCCGGGGTCAGGCAGGGGGATCCGTGGGCTCCACTTACACTGGGGGGCCTGGGAGGAGCGGGCAGTCAGCGAGGCCTGCACGTACTGTCCCTTCCCGTCCACACACCAGCAGTTCCCTAGGAGAGACCACGGCCAGAGCTCAGGAGGCGCACAGGGCTCGCCTGCGGGTGTCTCACCAACAACCATCCATCTTACGCTGCTGATGGCACCAGAGGGTCCCCCACCGGTCCCCCTGCCCGACCTCACTCACCACACGGGCCTTAGCACCCTAACCCCCCTGGCTCTCTGCCTGGCAGAGTCACCGCTCCCATTTTATGGATGAGTCGACCGGAGGCGAGGGAAAGAGGGCCCGGGAGTCCTGCTCACCTGCCCCCAGGGGGGCTCTTCCCACTGAATGAAAAGGGGGGCACCCCTCCGCCTCCCACGGGGGCCCATCCCCCTCACCGGTCCCCGCGTGGCACTGCACGGGCTCCCAGTTTCCAAACGCGTCACACTGGGGCACGTAGGGGCTGGACCGCAGGCGGGACGCTCCGGAGGAGACGGCGGGGGAAGAGCGGCGACTCTGATAGAAGTCGAAGGCTGCGGGGGGAGGCGCAAGGGTGAGGCCCCGCCTGGAAATGCCCGCAGCGTGGGCGCTGCCACCGAGAAGGGCCACACGTCCCTGTTCCAAACAGGCCTTCTTACCCACGTGACAAACACGCCCACCCAAAACGAGACAGGGGCAACTCCAACAGGGGGAGGCACTCGCCAGACTGTTCTTTACAAATAAAAATGAAATAAAAATGCAGGCCCGACTGGCGTGGCTCAGTGGTTGAGGGTTGACCTATGAACCAAGAGGTCACGGTTCAATTCCCAGTCAGGGCACATGCCCAGGTTGCAAGCTCAATCCCCAGTGGAGGCATGCAAGAGGCAGCCAATTAATGACTCTCTCTCATCATTGATGTTTCTATCTCTCTCTCTCCTTTCCTCTCTGAAATCAATTTTAAATATTTTTTAAAAATTTAAAAAATAGCCCTAACCTGGCTAGCGTGACTCAGTTGGTTGGGCATCGTCTCGTGCACCAAAAGGTCACCAGTTTGATCCCCAGTCAGGGCACAGGCCCGGGTTGCAGGCTCAATCCCCGGAAGGGGGCATGCAGGAAGCAATCGATCGATGTTCTGCTCTCACATCGATGTTTCTCCCCCTCACTCCCTCTCCCTTCTTCCGTCTCCAAAAATGAATAAAAATATTTGAAAACAAAAACATGGGCTGAAGCTTGAAGGAGTCTGCAATGCTCCTGCAATAATGTTCGTGTAACATCAATTAGGTCAATGAAGTGTCTTCCGTCATGAGAAGACAGCGGTAACAGATACATTGACTTCACATGTGTGGTGGCCCAGGCACAACCTACATACATGCTTTTGTGGACTGAACCCCCACTCAGCCCTGGAAGAGAGGTCATGGTATCCCACTTCCGTGACCTGAAGACGGCCGCCCTGCCCATCTTGGTTGGGCATCGTCTCGTGCACCAAAAGGTCACCAGTTTGATCCCCAGTCGGGGCACAGGCCCGGGTTGCAGGCTCAATCCCCGGAAGGGGACATGCAGGAAGCAATGGATCGATGTTCTGCTCTCACATCGATGTTTCCCCCCCTCACTCCCTCTCCCTCCTTCCGTCTCCAAAAATGAATAAAAATATTTGAAAGCAAAAACACAGGCTGAAGTTTGAAGGAGTCTGCAATGCTCCTGCAATAACGTTCGTGTAACGTCAGTTAGGTCAATGAAGTGTCTTTGGTCATGAGAAGACAGCGGTAACAGATACATTGACTTCACATGTGCGGTGCCCCAGGCACAACCTACGTACATGCTTCCGTGGACTGAACCCCCACTCAGCCCTGGAAGAGAGGTCATGGCATCCCACTTCTGTGACCTGCAGACGGCTGCCCTGCCCATCGAACTGCCCCCGAGCTCAGCTCTCCTGCCCCTGCCTGCTGGCTCCCACAGCACCCCGCCAGGGCCACCAGGCACTGTGCTTGTCATTGGGTGCAGGTCTGTCTCTCCCAAGGCAGCGTGTACACCTTTCGGTGCAAGGATTCAAGTTTATTTTGTACGTAGAGTGGTGCCTCCCTCATAGTAGGCACTCAAATACTTGGTGAGTGAAAAAGAAGGAAATGCATGTATGAGAGAGTCGGAGCGGGGGAGGTAAAGAGGGAAGAGAACAGCCACCAGCCGGGGCAAGTGCAGCCCCAGGAGCAGAGACCGGCCTCACATGGAGGGGGGGTGGAAGGACCTTCTCCTGACCCGCCACCTTCGGAGATGGGCCATGGCTCCCCGAGCAGAACCTAACAGTCCTCAGGACACCACCCCCCACGGTCGGAACCCACCGGGAGACCGGGACCCGCTCTGGTGCAGCGGGGTGGAGGGCGAGCAGGGGCTCTGGGATGAGACAGGGCTGGCTGGGGACCGGCTGGCAGGGCAAGAGGCTCAGAGCCGGACCCGCTGCTGCACATCCAGGCTCTGCTAGTTATTCACGGGGGAACCTGGGCCTGTGGCTTAACCTCGGTTTCCGCATTTGAGAACTTCGCAGATGGTGGTTGTAGCGTCATTCTCACAGAACTGCTGGAGGGTCAGATGCAGGATTTAGCTGTCCACCGAGCACAGCACGTGCCTGGCCAGGCCAGGGGGAGTGTCGGGGAACCCTGAGCTGTTGTAAGGGGTGAGAGCACTGTGGATGCTCTGAGCTTCTCTCTGTCACAGGCAGGTCACAGGCGTGGGTTTGGAGTCACTGGCAGGGTCCGAAGGGCTCACAGGGGAAGGAGTCGACGCCGGTAATGTTTTGGTGACAAGGGTGCCTCTCCTTCCCCCGTGGGGTGCTCCTAGATTCTTAGAAATGGAGGGGACTTTGGAGCCGGCTAGGAGGGCAGAGTGAGTATTGGGGCTGGAGCCCCTCACCTTTAGCAAGAGCGCTTGGCTTGACATGATAAGGAGAGACCAAGATGGCGGCATAGGTAAACACCGCAGACTGCTGCCGCAAACAACCACTTCAAAAATACAACTAAAAGACGGAACGGACATCACCCAGAACCGCAGGAAGGCTGGCTGAGGAGAGACTCTTCAACTAGAAGGAAAAATAACAGCACACCGAGGCTCAGAGGAGGCGCAGTGTGGAAAATACTCAGGTGCGGAGGTGCGCGCGCAAAGCGGGCTGGTGGCTGAGAGCGCGGTTGTCGTGGAGCTCCCTCCCCTCTGCAGCAGGCCAGCCGCCTCTCCTCACCCGGAGGGATTCAGGGGAATGAGCAGCCCTGCCCCTTCCCGGGGACACTTCCTCTGTCTCAGCACCAGACATGAGAATGAAGCTGCAGAGCGTGCGCTGCGAGGAGGGGATCCCCCTTAGCCCGACTTCGGGAGAAAATGGCATCATTGCCATTCAAGGAACAGATCCCTGTGGCACCAACAGCTTCCGTGCCCCTGCCTCCACTTCCCTCCCTGCCCAGAGTGGTCCCAGCTCCGGGTGAAATCCCACTCCTCCACTCTTTCGTTAGGTCAGATCCCGAGCCACGCACAAAACTCGAAAGGACTGGTTTCTTGCCCAAAGCAGAAGTCCTCACGCCTCTGAAGAACAGAGAAAGGAAGTGCAGGGCTTGGGGGCGGGAGGGGACAGAAGAGGAAGGAGGAGGGGGCAGAAGCAGGAAGGTTGGTGAACCAGCACTAACAGGGCTCCTGCCATCTGCCAGGCAGGCGCCTCCACCTCTGAGGAACAGAGAAAGGAAGTGCAGGGCTTGGGGGCGGGAGGGGACAGAAGAGGAAAGAGGAGGGGGCAGAAGCAGGAAGGATGGTGAACCAGCACTAACGGGGCTCCTGCCATCTGCCAGGCAGGGTGCCAGGCCCGGGATCGAAGGAAGAATAAGAGGAGACCTGTGCCTGGTCCTCCGAAGGAGAGGGCAGGGGAGGGGGAGCAGGAAACAGACGGACCGTGGGAGGTTCTCGCCTCCTGTGGGGTTGGGAGAACGGAGGCAACAGGAGCCCAGGCTGGGCAGGCAGGAGTGGGTGCGCTCTGTCTCCCTCAGGGGCTCGGATGGTGTCGGGGTGACCACTTTGTTGTGTGTGACCCAAGCCCAGAAAACCCCAGACAGGGCGTCAGCTGAGTAATATGACCAGAGATGGGGCTTAGGAGAGGCTTGGAGACGGAACATATTTGTCCCGCTGAGGATGGCGTGGGGTCAGTGAGAGAGCGGGGAGGGTCAGGGGACCCCGCCGAGCCGGCTGCAGGGGGTGGAGGGCGAGCAGGGGCTCTGGGATGAGACAGGGCTGGCTGGGGACCGGCTGGCAGGGCAAGAGGCTCAGAGCCGGACCCGCTGCTGCACATCCAGGCTCTGCTAGTTATTCACGGGGGAACCTGGGCCTGTGGCTTAACCTCGGTTTCCGCATTTGAGAACTTCGCAGATGGTGGTTGTAGCGTCATTCTCACAGAACTGCTGGAGGGTCAGATGCAGGATTTAGCTGTCCACCGAGCACAGCACGTGCCTGGCCAGGCCAGGGGGAGTGTCGGGGAACCCTGAGCTGTTGTAAGGGGTGAGAGCACTGTGGATGCTCTGAGCTTCTCTCTGTCACAGGCAGGTCACAGGCGTGGGTTTGGAGTCACTGGCAGGGTCCGAAGGGCTCACAGGGGAAGGAGTCGACGCCGGTAATGTTTTGGTGACAAGGGTGCCTCTCCTTCCCCCGTGGGGTGCTCCTAGATTCTTAGAAATGGAGGGGACTTTGGAGCCGGCTAGGAGGGCAGAGTGAGTATTGGGGCTGGAGCCCCTCACCTTTAGCAAGAGCGCTTGGCTTCACGGGGCCTGCGGGTGGCGCTGGAGGGTGTGGGAGCATCTTGGAGAGTATGCACATCCGGCTTGGAAGGGCACCTCACAACCACCGCCTCTGCTTTCCCAGGAACCCACTGGCCTGGGGAAACCGAGGCTGCAAAGCCCACTCCAGCTCCTGCTCCCCCAAGAGATGGAACAAGAAACCAGCGCGCGCCACTCACTGGACTGCGCTGCCAGGCGAAGGGCATCCTCGCTGCCGCGCAGAAACTGCTGGGAGAAGGCCTCCCGGGGTGGAGAGCCGGGGGGCAGGCCGAGCTCCTCGTTGCTCAGCCGGATTCCCGAGGCCGCCAGCAAACTCTCCCCCAGAGGGAACCAGGAGCTGTTGGAAGCCAAGACCACCTCCTCCGAGTCCGCGATGAACTGCAGAGCACGCAGCTGAGCGTCCACGCAGGAGCCGGGACCTGGGGAATGAAGACACTGCAGGTGGGTGCGCCCCACCTACGGCTCCCTTGACCCCTCTGCAGTGTGCACACACGTGCACACACATGTGCACGCACACACATGGATGCCTCAGCTGTTTGCTTCCCACCAGCTCCTTCCACAACCTGGAATGTTCTTTCCGTTTTGTCCCCACAATCTCATTCGCTCAGCATTGATGGGGGACCTACTATGGAAGGAGGTTAATCATCGCTAGTGTCTGCTCCCCTCCAGGCTCTGGACTAGGCACGGGCACTCAGACCAGCTCATTTAATCTATGCCACAGCCGACAGCGACGTGTTGACTTCGAGGGTTGGCCTTCCTCTAGAACTTGACATGTGAATTCCCAGGCATGGCAGTTCTCATCCACATCTCTGTTACCAACCTTCTACAAGCCTAGCTTCAGCTGACGTCAAATATTCGGCTTTTCATACTCCCCAGAAAGGTCTGGGCGATGCTGAGCATTGCCTCAGTGACCGGAGAGACTGGATTGGACTTGAACGGCTAGAACGCCACCTGTACCAGCAGCAAGGCTGGCTGGAGATTCTGCTTGGACAATAGCAGCGATGAAACTGCCTGGGCGTTGCCTCCAGCTGCTGCTGGTAGGTCCATCGGGCAAAAGGCCTTTGGGTTTGACACTGACTCCGCCTCGTTCTGCTTGTGCCTCACACACGGCAGGCAGCTCTCTCCCAGGGACCTGTCGTCAGCCTGGACCTACAGACCTCGGTCAGCAGCTCTCCTATCAGCCCTCTCATTCACTCCCTCAGCCCATTAAAAGCGCTGGGAGGCAGAAGCACCTGCTGAGGTCCCGAGCACCCAGAAGTGTCCTTCAAGTAACAAGTCCATCATAAGATGAGTTGGTTGTCCCTAGCCTGTTTGGCTCAGTGGGTAGAGCGGTGGCCTGAGGACTAAAGGGTCCTGGGTTCGATTCCAGTCAAGGGCACATGCCTGGGTCGCAGGCTTGATCCCCAGTGTGGGGCTTGCAGGAGGCAGCCAGTCAATGATTCTTTCTCATCCTTGATGTTTCTGTCGGTCTCTCCCTCTCCCTTTCTCTCTCTAAAATAAATAAAAAAAAATATTTTTTTAAAAGTACAAATTCAGTTCCTCCCAGGGTTGAACTCACATGCGGGGACCTCGCCTGGCTCGGTCCGGGTGCCCTCCCGTTCTTGACCGGCTTCGTCCACACACCAGCAGGTCCGCAGGTCCAAGTGCGCCAACGGGGCGCTGAAGTCCGAGTAGGGCCCTGGGTACCGGCGGAGCTGGCCGCGTAGGATCTGCCAGAAGAGGTAGGGCTCCAGGAGGACGTTGCCCCCGGGCCGGGTCCGGTTCCCGTCCAGCACGGCTGGTGGGACCTCGCGGAGAGAGGAGTACCTGGCCAGCCCGGGGAAGACGCCCTGCTGGCCAGCCTCATACAGACTTTGCAAGAAGCGACGGAAGCTGCCGGAGGCTGCGTCTCTGTAGCTCAGGACCTTCGTGAGCAGTTCGGCCGCCGTCAGCTCCCGGCCACCGTTGTCCTGGGCCCTCCACCGTTCGTACCACTCGAAGGCCTGCTCAGGGGGCCCGTCACACTGCACGGGACTCCACCGCCCGCGGGCGCTGCACTGCGGGATGTAGACGCTGGAGAGAGCGGGCGGCAGGCTGGAGTTGGAGACCAGGGTCCACACGGCCCCGAGGAAGGCGCGCTCGGCCCGCAGCTGACAGGGTGTGGGGCCTGGGGAGGAAAAGGAACACAGTGTCAGGCGAAGGAGCTTGGTCAGCACAGGAGACCGAGGCAGAGCTCTTAAGTGTCCAAACTCCGTCTGAGCCCTTACACGGCCACAGGTCCCACCACCCGTGGACAGAGAGCACCCCCATCACTGCTCAGGGACTGTGGAGACCAGCTGTTGTCAACACTGGAGACAGCTATGGGGCAATTCCTTAAGGCCAAGTAAGTCTCCCTATTCACCTAATTGGCTAATGTTATCAAGAGTCTTCTGGCCCGGCCGGCGGGGCTCAGTGGTTGAGCATCGATCTTATGAACCAGGAGGTCACGGTTCGATTCCCGGTCAGGGCACATGCCTGGGTTGCAGGCCCGATCCCAAGTGTGGGGTGTGCAGGAGGCAGCCTATCAACGATTCTCTCTCATCATTGATGTTTCTATCTCCCGCTCCTTCTCCCAAATCAATAAAAATATATATTTAAACAAAAAAAAAAAGAGTTTTCTGGACAATTTTTAAATTAACCTTCTCCCAAATCAGTAAAAATATATATTTAAACAAAAAAAAAGAGTTTTCTGGACAATTTTTAAATTAACCAGGAAATTTGGCCTCTAACAGAGTGTGAGGCTTCGCTATGACTGCATTCTTTTTTCTGCAATGCATTGTGTCAGGGCCCCCAGAGAGAAGCGGAGTTTGTAGATGGAACACCCGACGGACTTACACTGCTGGGGTCGCCCAGGTGCACTTTGAGTTCCAGGAATGGCCTGACCCTCCTCGTCCACACAGTAGCATTCGGAGTCGAAGCACTGAACAGGTAAGAAGTGCCCCTGGCGGGTACAGGAAGGCACGGACAGACTGGAGCCTGCGGGCTGGCTGCCCGCGAGGCTTAGCCTCTGAGCCCTTTGCTTCTCACACTCTGTGGGGCACCGTGGCCGTCCACCTCTCACCCTGGAGCTGGGCAGTTCTTTGCCCTGGGAGTCCACACACCAGCACTCTCCGGCAAAGCACTGGACATCCTCGTAGCTTCCTTCTGCCGTGCATGACGGGACAAAAAGGCCGCTGCGTGTCGACTCACAGCCCTGGGAGTTGAGCACCATTCCCATCACGTCACCCAAATCCCTGGCTATGTCTTCCGGCACAGACACCGCGTGCTGCAGGAACAGAAGGAATTCCGGAAGGTCCAGGAGAGAAGCGAGGGATTTCAGGGCGTTTTGGTTCTCTTGCACGTTGACCTCGAAGCCAAAGCTGCCCACAATTGTCTTATTCATAGCCCTGCCTTCCTTCGCGGCTCCTGGCGTTTCCACAGTAGCATTCGAATCCAGTCCCGCAGAGAGGAGTTTGGCTTGATTGACAAGTCCTCCTCCGCCCTGGAAGCCTGGGAGGCCGAGTCGCTGGAAAAACTGACTGAAGTTAAAGCTGCCTCTTGTGCCAAGGGCTCCCGACAAGTTAAACTGGCCGACGTTCACCAAAAATCTCCCCCCAAAGAGGTTCTGCTGGAGGCGCTTTGGGTTGGCGGTAAACTGAAGGGCAAGACGAGCCAGCTCGCGGGAGGGGAAAAGCCCTCGGATGGCTTCTGGGAGGAGACTCCCTGCGGCGGGAAACGGTGGGTTCTGCCCCTCGATGAGGGAGCGGAGGATCCCCGAGTCCACAAAGAGCTCCTTGATGGCGGGCGGGCAGGGCAGGGCCCCTCCGGCTCCTCTCCGGGAGGTCACGAGGTCGCCCGAGGGCCCGAAGCGGAGTCTGGACAGGGCCCGCCGCCTCTCGGAGGAGCAGGACCCGGCGTCAGCTGCACGGGGCGAGCAGAGGAAACGGGGTTAGCATCACCAGCCCCTGAGGCAGCCCCTCAGCGCTCCCCGCTAGCAAGATGTCAGAACATTCAGCCCAGGACACCTACACTTTTTCCCCTCCGTTCTTTTATTTTTAGCTTTCGCTCCGAGCCGCGTCCAGGGAGGCCCCTTTGGGGAACGAGTTTTCCAGCGGACACGCCTTCCTCTCCTGGCCCTCCCAGGCGGGTGACCCCCCGCTGAGGGAAGTCTCTAGACATCGGCCCACTTTCCAAAAACCCGCCGCACACGTGCACCAGCAGCCTGGGCTGGAACGTCTCCCTCCTCCCTCGCCCCTCATCCACGTCCACCTGGAACCTTGGAACTTGATCTCGTGGGGAGAGAGGGTGTTGGCGGATGTGACTAGTCAAGATGAAGTCCCACAGGATTAGAGAGGGCCCTGCATCAATGACTGGTGTCCTGCCCAGAAGGACACGTGATGAGATGGACAGACACACAGGAAGAAGCCATGTGAGGGCAGAGACTGGGAGAGTGCAGCCGGCTGGGGCCGAGGCCTCACGAGGATGGGGCAGGAAGGATGCTTCCTGGGCACCGTTAGCGAAAGCACAGCCCTGCCGACCCCTTGGTCTCCGCCTTCCAGCCTCCAGGACTGAGAGAGAGTAGGTGTCTGTTGTTTAAGCCACCCAGTGCGTGGCCATTGGGGGCAGCAGCCCTAGGCAGCAGGTACACCAACCAAGTCCTATTTTTAATGCAGCTGGTTTCCGGCACACTCCCGCTGGAACCCTGCATGGACCGAGCGCTTCATTATCCGCTCTTCGTGTGGCCGCCCAATTCTTCTTTGTGAGTAGCCTGGTCTCAGCTGGCTAGTGTATAGTCTCTTTGAGGATAAAAAGCCTATTTAAGTGCTGGTAGTATTTCCTACAATAAACATTTTTCTACGCTGCAATATGTACTATTATGCTATGTCATAGGAGAGATGATCGGTCCTATAATGTAATAGAACGATGCACACTTGGTAAACCCACTTCGCACACCTTCTTCTAGGTTTCTTGACCTTCCTTTGAAATTACTCATTAAATAGTGATCAACTCAGTCAACACCGTGCGTGGCCGGGTCATTCTATCTGAATATCCTAGGATGGCCGCAATCATGTTTAAATTCGAATTCCAGTGTCTCGGTTACGTCCTGGAGCGGGTGGTCTGGAGAAACAAAGTAGTAGGACCTGAGGAGACCCCAACAGGACACCCTCGATGGGAGACCCACCGCAAGGCAGCGCCGCGTCCTGCCGCCGAGTCCCCGGGACCTCCTTGCCCTGGGCGTCCGCACACCAGCACGGGCCTCCCCTCTGGCACTGCACCGCCTGGAAGTCCCCGTTTCGGTGGCAGCTCGGGACGTAGGCGTGACCGAAGTCAGTCGCTGTGAACCGCTCCACTTCACACTTCGTGGGGCCTGGAGGAAATCCGTGCGGGGGAGAGAAGACAGGCAACAGCCCCTGGTGGGCGCACAGCACGCATTCTGCTTGCTGGTGGCATTCACGCCCCCCACACTCTGCAGGAACAACCATGAGACCACAGCCACGGAGACCACAGCCACAGGGACCATAGCCACGGGGACCACAGCCACAGAAACTGCAGTCACGGAGACCTCAGCCACAGGGACCACAGCCACGGGGACCACAGCCACAGAAACTGCAGCCATGGGGACCATAGCCAGGGAGACTGCAGCCACTTTCAGAGCTTCCCTCCCGGCAGCAGCGTGGGCATCTGTTGCCAGCTGGTTACTCACATCGGAACCTGCCAGAAAGCACGAGCTGAAGGGCGAGGAAGCGCCTCTGCAGGATCCGGTACAGGGTGGTGTCCGTGAAGGTGGGTGCGAGGGCCAGGCCGGCGAAAACGGTGTCGTAAATGTCATCGAGCAGCAGCTCCAGACCTGAGCAGAGACATGTCAAGGTGCAGCTTCCTTCCCATAGGGGGTCCTGATCTCGCCACGTACATGGGTAGGAAGAGGACCAGAGCTGCCCTGGCTGGTCGCTCAGTGGTTAGAGAGTCGCCTGCAGACCGAAGGGTCGCAAGTTCGATTCCCGGTCAAGGGCGCATACCTTGAGTTCCAGGCCCGATCCTCGGCCTGCCCGGTCAGGCCCATGCGGGAGGCAACCAATGGATGGGTGTTTCTTTCTCCCCCGCCTCTCGGGCCTGGCGATGCCACCCTCCCCTGGGATTGCCTGAGGCGCGCTCACCTGTCTCAGCCAGTTCCCGCCCTTGACTGTCCGCGCAGTGACAGTACCCGGACACCTCGGGGAACCTTCTCCGGAAGGCGCTGAACGTCACGAAAGCATCTGGAAACCTGAAGGGGCAGGACATGGACGGTCACCGTTTCTTAAAAGGCAACGCATGGCGAACAGATGCGGGAAAAGGCGCCTCTGATCATTCATCTCGTGCCATGGGCTCCGGGCTTCCTGCGGGAGTGTGTGTCTTTCCTAAATCGGTGTTACCGGCCTGAGCTGTCCTCTACCCACTGGCCGTCTTCCTTACTCGTGGCACTCGACCGATTTACACCCGAGCCCGTGTCTCGCAGCATCGGGCGGAACATAGGTAACGCACGTGGCCTGAACGCGTCCCCTCCTAGAACGGAACTCTAGAGGCGCAAGGCCCAGCTGCCGTGCACACATGTGGCACAGGGCGATGACCTCATCTGGGAGATCAAACAGCTTCGGGCCTTCAGGGTCTGTTGAGAGCTTGTCAGGGAGCCAGGTCCCCCCCCAGGAAGTTCCTGAGCGGGCCATTTCCCAGGCCACAGCTTGCAAAAACGCAAAATCAATATGACATCACTCACTAGGGCGAGCCGGCCCTTTCTGAAGGCTGAGGAAAAGCGTACGTAACTCACGTCTGACCTGGAGACTGCTACGGGGCTCACTGGCTGCGTTCCCACCGGGACGTCATCTGAGACTCCGGTGATGCAAAGCCACAGGCAGGCGTCCTTCCCATGGTCAGTGACTTAGCAACCGGAGGGCTTGCTGCTGCTTTAGGCAATGCTGAGGGGTTCGTCTTACGTCCCAGGGAGCGGGTCCCCGAGACCCAAGCCTGATGTGCTGCCACCTGTGTCTGGGAATCTATCCCCAAACCGCCAGCACCCAGAGCCTGCGGCTGTGGCATCAGCCTAGCAATCTACGGAAGCCACATCCGTGCCCGGGGATAGGAAAATGAAGAGTAAATCGGAGTAAACCCCCTCAATGGATGTGTACGTAACATCGTGTGAAAGGGTAGAGTGCGCAATGGCCTGTACGTACACCCGCTGGGATGGGCATGTAAATGAACCAGGCCTGGGAGGCGATGTATTGTGCAGAATCTGCTCGCAGCCTGAACATTAATTTGAATGGATATGACTATGCAAAAAAAGCCTAGGAAAGTGCTACAGAAGTATGGATTTTTTTCCATGTTGTTGGTCTATGATTGTGTGTATAGACATTATAGACAGAAGTTATAGACGAAAGACTGCTACAGTTCGTTATGGGTTTTTTCCATGTTGTTGGTCTATGATTGTGTGTATGTTATAGACATCATAGACAGAAGTTATAGACGAAAGACTGCTACAGTTCGTTAGTCATGCTTATAGAAACTAAACGTTCACTTTCCCCCGTTGGAGGTGTATAATAAAAGCTCATTCATTGGAACCTCTAAGGCAGCGGTTCTCAACCTGTGGGTCACGACCCCTTTGGGGGTCGAACGACCCTTTCACAGGGGTCGCCTAAATACATCCTGCATATCAGATATTTACATTATGATTCATAACAGTAGCAAAATTACAGTTATGAAATAGCAACGAAAATAATTTTATGGTTGGGGGTCACCACAACATGAGGAATTGTATTAAAGGGTCGCGGCATTAGGAAGGTTGAGAACCACTGCAAGGGCTTTTCGTAGCATAAGCATGACTTCCGTTCATTCAGCCACTGCTCTGTAAAAGATGATCTGCAAAATGTAATATACATCAACTTGCTCATACGCAAGGATATTGGGATTCAGAGTAAAGAAGGATCGGTTCAAGGTCACCCGGCCACGACCAGGGGCGAGGGACCCTCGTCCACTGCCAAGGCCCATTCAACAACGGCAGCGCGGAGGATGGAGAGCTGCCACTGCGACAGGGCAGGGTCCTGAGGGCACCCTGCCTGCTCTGCATTCGTGTCCGAATGTAAGTGCAAGCTCTGACTCTTCCCTGAGTTCCTTCTCCTGAAATCCAATTGGATAGGCAACCGGATGTCAGAACCGGCACCACCACCTGTGAATGTGGGACTCCTCCCCCAGCACAATCATCGTCACTATTGGCTGCTTCTGCCAGTGTCATTGGCAGGGTCTTCGAACTATCTTCATCCCACCCAGGGCCCGAGGGCCTCGGCCACGCGTTCACCTCCCTCTCACTGATCCCCCACCCTTCTCTGCCACCCCAAAGAAAAGCCAAACTCACCCTACACTCTCCCTCTCCCTCGCCCTCCCTCTCTCTTCCTCCACCAAGTCCTGTGGATTTCATGGAGTAAACACTCCTCCAAACACGCTCCGTCTCTCCACCCTCCTCTCTGTCAGCTACTCTAGCCCAAGTCATCCCCTCTCTCCTGGTCCAGTCCCCGAGCCCCCAAACTCCCAGAGTCGCCTCCCAGCACCCACTCTGCTTTGCCCCAATCCCAGTCCATTCTTTTCTAAGTCCAACTACAATGGTTATTAAGATATTCCCACCCCCCACCCCAGGCTCAAAATCCGTGGTGCAATAGTGGGGAGGAGCATATTTATACGACAGAAAGCGCCCCCTGCTTATCTGAATTGAGGTATAACTGGCCATCTGTGCTTTTTTTATCTGGCAACCCTGGGTGCTAAGTCTAGACTTTCCACGTGGCCTCTGTGGCTCCTGCCACTGTGCCCTGGGGAGTCGCTGGGCCCAGGGCTGCTTATCAGCAAATTCCTGAATATGGCTGGGCTTCCAGTAACCAACTACCTGACCCTTCCCATGACCTTCCTAAATCAAACGCACTCTGAGACGACATGCTTGCTTACAAAAAAAGAAAGGATCCCATTTCAGGAGTATGTTTTGTTTGTTTGTCTTAAACAATGGATGCTTAGTCCTGAACTTTTGCATTTAACTCGACTGCCCTCTTGTGGAAGGAGCTGTGAATTGTGCCTCAAAGTGGCACCAGCAAAGTTCTCTGATGCAGGGAGTGTAAACCTACTTTGTAGGCCTACTGTGTGCAAGGCTCTATGCCACGCCCTGTAGGGGAAATAGATGAATCGAGGTTGTGTGGGAGCGTAAAAGAAGCCAGACTGACCGTGCTTCTTAGAGGGAGTTCCTTAACCTCTGGTGTTTCAATTCCTCATGTGTACGCTAGAGACCATGAATATCCATCCGATTTTCCTTGTAAGTATTAAAGTGGGCTGAAGGATGTCAATTCCCTGTATGAGGAAGCACCCACTTGAACTTGAACTGAGCACGCACTGGTTTGCATCAATGAACACCACTAAATCAGACTCTTTGGAGATTCTTATATGCGCACAGGCAGGCCACTCCCTGGGCCTGCGTGGGGGTGGGGGAACCTAATCTACATTTGCTGAAGTTGGATTGTACACTATTAATTCCCTAGAAATGCATCATATTTATAGTTTTCACAGTGGTTTCATAGACGAGGTTTCATCGGGCCTTCACCACACCCTAAGAAGCAGGGAGCTGTCCCCATTTTACAGATGGGGAGACTGAGGCTCAGAGAGGGTAAGGAACTAGGTCACTTTGCCAAACACTGTCAGAGTCCGAATGAGTCACAAGGACAAATGCTACGGGCCAGGCAGGTATTGCAGAAGGACGCGGCAGGCAGTGCGAACACCGGGAGCACCGGAGGGTGCGTGCTCCGTCCAAAAGCAGCATTTCCGGGCCCGTTTCCTGGTGCCGCAGGAGAACGCACACAGCCCCCCACCTTGTTCCTCAGAATCAGGAACTCGGAATTTCGCACGTCAGGTTGAACAAGTGAAACTGCTGGTGTTCAGCTATTTTTACCTACACGAACAGAAACTTGAGGGTTCAACTTAAAACTCCCCAGTTCTTCAATTACCCTGCAGCTCCCACAAGCCCAGCCTGTGGGGCAGCTCCCACCACAGCACAGCCCGAGGCCCCCCGTCTCACACAGGGAAAGAAACGGGGTGTTTGGAGGACAGCCACATAGAGGCTCGCTCCTCCAAGAGAATGCCCACCAGCATTCTCAGCCTAATATGCTCAGTTATTTTCACTCTAGTCCCCCCTGATCCCTGGGGCTACGTCCCAAGACCCCCAGGGGATGCCTGAAACCACAGAGTGGCAACCCCTATCTCTATACCATTTAGACTGCTTTTTCCTACACAGACACACCTGTGAGAAAGTTTAAATGCTGAAGCAGGCACAGTAAGAGGGGCACAGAAAGCAGCGAGTAATGAAGTAGGACAACTGTACCGATACACTGCGGTCAAGGCCCTGTGGGCGTCTAACTGGACGGCGCCCACCTTCTCCTTCAAGGGAGCCCTTGCCGGCCTCTCCGGGGCGGGCCTGGACCTCCAGCATCACTGCTCTTGCGAGTTGGGACTGTTAATAAATAAAATCGGGGCGACTTGCCACCAGCCACCAGGACACCATGACAGGGTATCGATCTGAAAGCCAACGTGGCTCCTAAGTGCCCGCGGGCAGAGCAGCGACGGCGCGGCGACGCTGGACACAGGGCTGAGTCACATCCGAGTGGACTGCGAGACTTCCTCACGTGACCCAGAGCGCCGTGCAATTTGCAACGTGTGAATTGTTGACTTCTGGAATTCTGCATTTCGTATTTTTTGGACTGTGGTGGACCTTGTTATTGTTTTGTTTTGTGTTAATCCTCCCCTGAGGATATTTTTCCATTGATTCTTAGAGAGAGTGGAAGGGAGACACACAGAGAGAAACATCCATGTGAGAGACACACATTGATTGGTTGCCTCCCCATGGAGCCTGCCACCGAGGTATGTGCCCTTGCCCAGAATCGAACCCAGGACCCTTCAGTCCATGGGCCCACGCTCTACCCACTGAGCCAAACTGGCCAGGGCGGACCTCGAGTAACTGAAACCTCAGAAAGCAAAGCTACGGATAAGGAGGGTCGACGGCATGGGTCGGTGGCATTCAGAATGGCCCA